ATAATTATATATAACATTACATATATTTACTATTATTATCATTTGTTGAATTGAATTGTTCTATAATTTTGGATCTTGTACTATTTGTTGTATTACCATCTAATCTAAGAAATTGTAAACATTCCATATTACAAACTCTTTCTAATAAATCAAGTGTTTGCGTGTAATATGAAATTAATACTAATTTTTCATTAGTTTTTTTTAAATTTCTTATTAATGTTTGTACAATTGAAATCTTTCCATAATATCCTTTTCTTGTAATATTTTTTATAGAAATTTTATTCAAACATAGATCATTTTTTTCATTATAAAATAATTCTGAATGATTACAAATTTTTTTAAGAGCTGTTATTAAAGTTAAATGTGGTATATTATTATTTGGTAATACATTTTTATTAAACCATAAATTTGTGATTTTTGAATACAAATCTTCTTGTTCATCTGATAAACGACAAAATATAACTAATTCATGCTTAGAAGGTAAATATTTATTAATTATTTCTTGTGTACGTCTTAATATAAAACATTTAGTCTTCTCGTGTAATTCATTAGCTCTTTCAGTTCCAAGAGATATAACATGACATGATGCATTAGGACATTGTGATGCAACTATAGGTTTTTCATAATAATTTTTAAATTCAGAACTACTACCCAATATAACAGGATTTACAAAATCAATTAATGCAAAAAATTCTTGCAAATCATTTTGTACAGGAGTTCCAGTTAAAAGTATTCTTTTTTTACAATTCAAATTACTCAAAATCTAGGAAAAAATTTGTAATATATTAAAATCTTATATATCTTAAATATAATTTCATATATCTTATATATTTTTAAATATAACATTTTTTATAATATTAAGCTTTTTTTCTTTTTTTAATTAATAAAACTGAATATTGAAAATAATACCTTTGTTGTTTTTATATCATTATTTTTTAATCGATGACCTTCATCACATATAATTAAATCAAAAGCTATTTGTTCAATTTCTTCTTGATATTTAATAAGCATTTCATAGCTAATAATCATAACTGAATTTCTTATTTGTTTCTTGAAATTATTTGGTTTATTTTTAGCATTTACAACATATGGAGATATTCTATGAAAACCCAACCAATGTTTAAATTCTTTATTCCAATTGTTACACAAACTACTAGGAGTGACTATTAATACATATTTCAATATTGGATATCCATATGGTCCTTTTTTTAATAATGTCCAAATAATTGTAATACATTGTAATGTTTTTCCAAGTCCCATTTCATCAGCCAAAATTGCTCCAAAATAATTAGGTATCTTTAAGCCCATAATACATTCATATAGAAATACAATACCATGACGTTGATGTGGTCTAAGTACATTTACTAAACAAGTATCTACAGATACTTCTTTTTCATTTTGTAACATATTTTTTGTCCAATCCTGTGAAATATTTATAGATGGCATTACAAATGGACTGCATTTCAATTTTATTTCTATAATAAAACATAAAAATTAATATATTTTTTTTTATGATATAAATTCTTTTAATATAAAAAATTTTAAATAATTCTTTTAATACAATACACTATACCTTTATATAAACATTCTAAAGGAAGATATGGTTTAGAAATTGATGTTTTTAATTTCTTTGTAGGTGGTTCTGAAATTTTTTCTGGAATGGATCTATTGAGCATATATTTGGGCAGTACTTTATCAATTATCTATAAATATTTTGATAATTAATTTATATGCATATTATTAATTTATTTATATGTTTCAATTATTTTTACCTCAATTTCTTTATTATCTATGTACATTCTAAAACCTTCTATCAAAAGTTCTGGATTAACTATGGTTTTATGGATAATATTGCCTTCTATATCCTATATTGCAAATATATAACTTTTTTAATAATATTTTCAATAATAAAATATATATATAATTTGTTTAGATACATTACTTTTAAGATTGCATGTTTTCCTATAACTTCCAATGTTCCATCATCATCCCATTTTTTATGTTTTCTCATAGTCTTTTTACCTATTAATACATTAAATATGCTATAAAAAAAAAATAATTATATATATTAATAAATATTATAATATTAATATAATATTAATAAATAAAATTACTAAATAAATAAATTAAATATTCGTAATATACATACACTTTATTTATATCAGTAATAATGGATATATCTTTTTCAATCGTAACTGTATTTTTTTCTTCTTTTTTGATTGAAACATTTTCTTTTTGTACATTTTTCTTACAATTTGAGGAGGATGTAATGGGATTTTTAAATAAATCTAGAATTTTTGTTGTATCTCTAATAAAAATTTGTTGTGAATTTTCCGATAAAGTATTAATATTTTCTAAATTCTTTTTGAAATTAGTACATGTTATTTGTTGATGTTTTGAAGTATTTTTTAAATTTTTGTTTAAATTATTACGATACATATTAGATATTTTATATTTTATTTAAAATTATTATTAAATTATTAAAACGAAAATATAATGCCTATTGTTATATATTAATCACAATTCTAAATATTCAAATAAGTTACACTGTTACTATTCTAATTATACTTATGAACTTTGATAAAATTTTGGTTATTCCCGCGTAAAAGAATAGAAATTTTTAAATTAATACTATGAAGCAAACTTGTCATCTTAATTTGAATTTTAATATAAAGATAAAAAAATAAATAAAAAATTAAATAATATAATAAATAGTAATTTTAATTCTTATAAAAATTATATAAAATAATTATAAGATATTTTTTAAAATAATTTTTTAATTTTCTAAAATAATTTAAAGGTTGTTTTCATGAAACAGTAAGATAAACTGTTACTAGTAAGTATAAGCTGTATATTCCTATTTAATTTGTAAATGTGTGTAATCTCATATTTGGAAAAATTCAGAGTAGAAATATTTGTACTAGCATGTGAGAAGGTACTATTATACATATGTATAATCCAATTGTTTCAATTTTGAAGGACGAGATGTTTCGAGAACATTATAGTGCTTCCATATAAGGTACGAAAAGATTATAGTGCGTGTAAAAAGTGAATTTATAAATAAGCGGAAGAAAAGTAATTTATTTATTTTTTTTTCAGATGTTTTGTTATAGATGAAATAACTAGTTTAAATACATCTTTAAAAACAAGATAAAGAGGATGTATTGCCTACAGTGGTTAATTCCAGTGCTGCTGATACCAAAACCAGTAAATCCAGCACTACTGCAAACGCATGTCATGTTTATGGCTCTTTATCTAATTGGATTCTTCCTAGAACGAAAACCATGTACTGTTTGTAGTTTAGTATTTCTTCTTGCAGTTTTCCTAATTTGTTATAGTGGAATTGGTAATTGTCTCCTTTGGAGTACAAATTGTGATACAGTGAGATGTGACAATAGTTAAGGTTATTAGAATGTTTATTCTTAAATTAAAAAAATGCCTCCACCTTTATTTTTTTTAGAAGGATATGTCTAATTAATTCATTAATAACATAACCTATTCATAGAATTCATATATATTACTTATATATGAATCTTATTAATAATATGCAAATATGATTTTATAATCTTAATTGTAGTTTTTAGGTGTTATACATGGTATATGTATTTATATATGTACATATATACATGAGTATGTACATATATGTATTAATGATATGTATTTATATACACAAAAGAATAAATTTGCTAGGTTACAAAAAGTTTGCATGAAATTAAGGAACTTCCAAATGTAAAATTATAATAGTTTAATATTATAGAATTAAGATACATTTTTTGTACATATATTTATGCTTAATTCCATTAATTTAATTCTATTGTCTAATTATACACTGTGTATAACACTTTTTTTATTTAAAAATGTTAATTTTATTTTGTTATTGTATGTTATTGTATATCTAAAAAATTAACATTTTTATAGTTTATTTAATTTGAATAAATTTCCCAAACCATTTTACAAAAATTATTAAAATTTTTAAATGAATCATTCATTATTTTGTTCATAAATTATTCTAAATAAATAATTAAGCAGAGTATAATTGGTAATTATTGAATGAAAAAATAAAAGTATTTTACATTATCATATGAAAATTATATAAAATTAATTATATAATAATATTTATAAATAATTATGACAAGCGATAGAAACATATATTGCGCTAATACATTAATTCAAAACTTCATTTCAATATGTTGAAGACATTTAGTTGTATATAATTTGCTAATGATAATTTATAATTTTTATGTATTTATTTTATCAAACATAGTATATGGAAAATGAACAAAATATATCATGTCTTATGTTACAAATATCTTTTTTCATTGAATATAGGTATTAGTATTTCATCATATTAAGAGAAAATATGAGATATTGATACAGTAGTCAAAAACAGCTTGAGAAATTTTACATTGAAAATTCAGAAAATTATAAAAGGAAAACTTATGTATTATACAAATATTATATAAATTCCTGTTTCATTTGATGAAATGGTTACAAGTTTTTTAATAAAATTTTTGCATTAGCTCAAATTTGTTTGTAATGTTTCTAGCTATGATTTTTTGTTAAAAATTCGTTTACATAATAGTTGTATTTTATAATTGTATACAAATTACTTGTTTTTTTGCTTCCATTTATAAATTTATGTATTAATAATATAACTATAAAATTTATAATTGAATGTATACTTTTATAATGCAATAAAAGATGTAAAGAATTATTATAATAAATTTGTTCTTTTGATTTTACTTTTCTTGATGTAATTTATTAAATTTATTTAATTATTTTATATATTAAAATTTTTATATATCAAAATTATTATTTAAATAAGGAATTAAAATATTAGACACATATATTATTAAATTTTATTTATTATTTTACATTAAAATATTATTGTGGTTTACCACGTCCAAAACCACCGCGAAATTCAACATCTCCTGTACCAGCACCAACATCAGCTTTTTTATCACCAGGACCTGCTGGACCTCCTGGACCTCGTCTATATCCAGCACGATCTTCTGTAGGTCTAGATGCTTCACTTCTTGCACCTGCTGCAGGTCTTGGCCTTGTTGTTTCTGATCTTGTTTGTCTCTTAAGTGTGGAAGGTACAATTTCAGGAGGTAAATGCAAATATCCACGTAAATATTCAATGCCTTCATTTGTCAAATACCAATAAAAATGCCTCCAAGCAAATTGTTCTTTGACAAATCCTTTAGATTTTAAAGACTAGAAAAATACATAAGAATTTGATTATAATAACATAAGTTAAATAATAAAAAACAAACAATATAAAAATAATCATATATATTCATGTCATATATTACCTGCATAGCCTTAATAACTTGAAGATTAGGAATACATTCTAATTCTGGATGTTTTGGTGCATGATAATCTTTTTTTGCAACCATAACACCTTCTTTAAAAAGATATTCATAAATTGCTACACGATTTTTTTTTGGCATCAACATCCTGAAAATAATAGAAAAAAAATTAAAATCTAATTGTTATTAAAATAATGTAATTTTAATTCATAAATAAAAAATAAAATAAAATAAATATATTTTAAAACAAGATGATTCAATCAAAAAATTAAATACAGATATGATTAGGAACGTATTTTAAATAAGAAGTAAAAAAAATTAAATACAGATATGATTAGGAACGTATTTTAAATAAGAAGTAAAAAAAATTAAAATTTGTTCAAATTATAAGAGAATTCTTTAGATTATACAAATCTTATTATTTAAATTATATAAATGAATATCTTAATTTTTATATTTTATATATCACAAATAATTTTAATATTTTCAAGTTATTATGAAGAAATATTCTTTTCTTATTTTTAATATTAATATTATAAATATTAAAGATATAAATTAATATTAATATAAATAAAAGATATAATAAATAATATAAATATATAAATAAAAGAAAGGCAAACATTCTTTTAAATTAGTTCTAACCTCAATATCGTTTATTATAATATTAACAAAAAAAATACCATTTATATAAAAATTCTTCAATTTGGCAAAAAGTAAGTAATTTAACAAACCTCGTATTTTT